CGACCTTGCATTGACCTTCCGCACTTACTAGAATATTACAATCGGCCCTAATAAGTGATATCAATATATACATATTATAAAACTATAATTATAAAATATTTTTCTATATTTTGATCCCCTTTGTTGTATGACATTACGTCATCAACTTCGAATTACAATTATAGACTATACTGTTAAATTACTTCCCTTATTTACATTATTTACTAATTATTTAAGCCTTATATTCGTCATTAATATCTACATAATTTCCTATTGAAATCAACATTCTAAAGTTCATCATTAATAAAACTAATTATTAACGATACGTAACTCGATCTCGTAGGGAAGTCGCATATTTTATTATAGATTACGTTTTGCTCACTTACAGTTATATTTTGCCGTATAACTTTAGCCATAATGCCGCCTAAGAAACAAGTTGCATCGAATAATAGTGATTCTTCGGATAACGAGGGTACACCTGACGCTGAGTTGATTTTATTGTTAGCTAAACGAGATGCTATATTTGAAATAGTGCAAAAAATATATGATATGTCTTCGAACATCCATATGAATACTCCTATGATGGAACGTTTTCTCGACGAGAGTTCTAATGTTAATGAATTACGTATTGAATTTAAACAGACCGTAGATAACTATAATTCGCATTTATTAAAAATAAACACTATCGCTAAACCTGACTATAACAGCCTTATTACGTTTGAGTCTCTTTACGGTAGGATAAATCGGCTTTATTTACAATATTCGCAGTCTTACTACTTTACAAAATACTAGTGTCCCATCTAAGGCTAGGCTTACACTTCCGCCTATCGAACTTATGACGTTTTCGGGTGACATTCGCTCATGGCCTTTATTTTATGCCAGCTTTAAATCAACCGCCCATGACAACCCATCACTCACTGACGCTGAAAGGTTATACTATCTGCTAGGCAAACTGACAGGCAAGGCTCTGTCTGTGTGCTCAGGTATTACTCCATGCGCTGAAAATTATAAAACTTTATTACAAGCACTCATTGATAAATACGAAGACAAGCGTATGATAGCCTCCGCATATATAAATCAGATGTTCGAGTTTAAGCCATTGCAATCGTCCACGGCGAATAACTTTGATTTATTTACTGATAACTTTATAAGTGCAGTGCGCGCTTTACAAAACTTAAAGTTGGATAATCTCGCGGACTTAATTGTTCTGCATATCGCGTTAAAGAAGCTCGACTCGGATACCATTCGATCTTTCGAATACAATCATTGCTCGATAATACCTACCTTTGATGATTTAGTAAATTTTATTAAAACCCGCTCTAAAGTTCTGCAACAACTCTACTCTAGTAAGTCTAGTAGTCCATCAAATAGTCGACGAGGTAATGATAATAATCGTCGCTGTAATAATATTTCGTCGCCAAAGTATCAGGCATACGTAAGTACGACGGCTAGTCGTTCAAAGAAGTGCCTGTGTGATAATATTGTGCACCAGCACTTATTTAAGTGTGCAGACTTTAATAAAATGACACCGCTCGAACGGTTTAAATGCGTGAAGAGTAACAATGCATGTGTGAATTGTCTTAGCTTGAGCCATCGAGTATCTAATTGCGCTTCAAACTTTAGTCGTCGAGTTTGTAAATTTAAGCATCATACATTGTTGCATTTCCAGCGTGAAAGCGATAATTCTTCCTCCGCGCTGCCTCCGCCTCAGCCTCAGCAAACTGTGCTTAAGGCTGCAGCACCCGCGCCCACAACGCCAGCATACTCGCCACCTCTCACCTCAGGTGCGCGTTCGGACGTCGCGCTGTGTACTTCGTTCACGAATGTTTCCCAACATTCACCGCCCCCCGCGCGCTCATTTCGTTCGCAGAAGACTGTTTTATTATCAACCGCACAAGTCTTTGCACACGACGCTAAGGGAGAGAAACAATTAATTCGCGTATTATTAGACTCCGCGTCTCAAAGCCATTTTATAACTAAGGAATGCTGTCATCGTTTAGGCGTCCAGCAACACGAAAGCGAATGTACTGTAGTAAAGGGATTCGGTGGAGTAGAAAAAATCATTAAATCAAAATTAATCAATATTAAAATTTTCTCACGTTTCAACTCTAATATTAACTTCAATATTTCACCGCTCGTTGTTGATGAAATCACCGATCGTATGCCCACCGCTGTAGTAGACAAATCAGTATTAGCACAATTTAATGACATAAGGCTCGCTGATGAATGTTACGGTGTGCCTAATAAAATTGACGTATTGATAGGCGCATCCCTTTTCCCGCACTTATTGTGTCCTGACGTAATTCACTCCTCTAACAACTTGTCTGGGCCCTCAGCTTTGAACACGGTGTTTGGTTACATTATTATGGGTTCAGTACCGACAATTCAATATAATCAGTCATTAACGTGTTGTACAATCCTAGAGTCTCCCGCCATTGATAAATTAGTACAACGATTTTGGGAGCTTGAACAGCCTCCCTCCGCATCGCCCATTCAGTGTCCTTCAGACATTGAATGTGAAGAGTTTTATAAATCGACGACATCCCGCGATCCTGATAGTGGTAGATACATTGTTGGCCTACCATTTAAAGATGACGTTTATTCTCTCGGAGATTCTTACGAGACTGCTCGACGACGATTCATGTGCTTAGAAAGAAAACTTCAAGCATCACCTATACTAAGGTTGGAATATGACGACGTCATAAAGGAATATTTAGCCAAAAATTATATCTCTCCCGCACCACCGTATGACTCTCATGACCCCGCTCCAATCTATGTAATCCCGCATCATGGAGTCTTACGCGAAGACAAGAAGTCGACACGTTTACGTATAGTCCTGGATGCTAGCAATAAGACTAACACTGGTCGAGCATTAAATGATATCCTATATTCAGGACCAAATTTGCAAGGCGATTTGTTCAATATAATTCTAAATTTCCGCCTACATCCAGTCGCTATGACAGCCGACTGTCGCCAGCAATTCCTGCAGATAATTGTTCGCGATTCTGATCTTCGTTATCAATGCTTCATATACCGCTTTCGTCCACATGACCCACTTGTGTTGTACCACTTCAATCGCGTATGCTTCGGTTTAACTTCGAGTCCATACCACGCATTGCGTACGGTGAGACAGCTTATCGATGACGACGGCGCAAAGTATCCACTTGCGGGTCGTATCGCGTCTACTTCATTATATATGGACGATATCGCATTCTCTTTACCCAGTGAATCTGAAGCCAGTGACGCCTCTCAGCAGCTGATAGGGTTATTCAAGGGAGCACAACGGGACCTAATAAAATGGAATAGCAACCGTCGATCTGTTTTAGATGACCTCCCTGCTTCTCATAAGATTACAGGAGAAGTAGAGTTCGATAAATTAACGCAACATAAAATATTGGGTTTGTATTGGTCTACTGATAGTGACGCCTTTTATTTTAAGATAACCGTTCCCGCTGATGTGACGTGCACTAAGCGCTCCATCTTGTCTACTGTCGCCCGCCTGTGGGACATAATGGGTTTCGTTGCCCCCGCAGTCGCGTACGCCAAGCTGTTAATAAAACGGCTTTGGCAACTTAATTTAGATTGGGACGAGATACCACCACTGCCCATTGTTAAGATGTGGAAGCAATTCTGTGCTGAATTACCAGCCCTTAATGATTTACGTATCCCACGACATGTTGGTGTATCCAAAAACTGTATTGCCACACTTCTGGGTTTTTCCGATGCCAGCGAGCACGCATACGGTGCCGTAGTTTACATACATGTAAAGAGTGTTAACGGTAACACCGTCCAGTTGGTTTGTGCAAAGACTAAAGTCGCACCAACAAAGCCACTATCTATTGCACGCCTCGAGCTCTGTGGAGCGGTTTTACTCTCAAAGTTGCTTCGCAAAGTCCTCGAAAATTACTCTCTTGGCCTCGCAATATCGGTCTATGCCTTTGTAGATTCAAAGGTAGCTCTGTACTGGATAAAGAGTTCGCCACACAAGTGGCAGACATTTGTTGCAAACCGTGTTGTTCAGATCACCGACAATATTCCCGCTGACAACTTTTATCACGTAGCAAGCACTGAGAATCCCGCTGACATACTTTCACGTGGCGTTACGCCAAATAAATTAGTTTCATATCCTCTGTGGCTCCGCGGGCCTCAGTAGACCTCACTAAATCCATCTCAGTGGCCTCTTCATACTTTAGACAATCAGGACATTTCAGACATGCCTGAGACAAGGATTTTGTCGCACACTGTGTGCACATCCGTCTGCAATTCTGTAATTTATGAGCTAGCGCTCCGCATCGCTTCTTGGAGTAAACTTCTACGTATAATTGCGTATGTGTGTAAGTTTGCTAAATTGTTACCCCGCCACAGCACTATTGTAGTGACTGCCGATGATCTCAGTTTCGCTGAGGCCATAATGCTTCGCGCCCTGCAAAAGCAACACTTTGCAGCTGAATATTTAAATATTAAAGGTAACAAACCTTGCTCATCCGCTTTCAATCGTTTAAGGCCTTTCATTGACAACGGTTTGATCCGCGTAGGCGGTCGCCTTTCTAACTCCGCACTAGATTACACGCAAAAACATCCAATTGTACTTCCGCGCAGTGATCATGTAATGAATATGATCATTGATTATTATCATATTAAAAATTTACACGCCGGGCCTGAGTTGTTATTGTCATTACTCCGTCAGAAGTTTTGGATTCTTTCCGCACGCCGCACTGTGAGACATAGAGTCCACAAGTGTAATATATGTTTCCGGCTTAGACCCCGCCCAACTTACCCTTTGATGGCTGATCTTCCCCAAAGTCGTACGCGACAGGTTATTAAGGCATTTACTCACACGGGCTGCGATTATGCCGGTCCTGTTGCCTACACTCCTGTACGTCGTCGTGGTATACGCAGCGAGAATTTTCACATGCCTCACAACTCGAGCTGTGCATATAGAAATCGCTACTGATCTTAGTACTTCCAGTTTCCTCGCCGCGCTGAAACGTTTCCTCTCTAGACGAGGGCCGATTCAGTTCTTGTATTCGGATAACGGAACGAATTTTAAGGGTGCCGCTTCGTACCTTCGCGATCTCTATAAATTTTTAAACGTTGAATATCGCCCAAAGATCGAGCAGGAGTGCGCCGAAAGTCGCATTATATGGAAGTTCATCTGTCCCAACTCCCCTCATTTTGGAGGCGCATGGGAGAGTATGGTCAAGGTCGTGAAAGCACATCTGTTCCGAGTTATCGGTCATCAGTTACTTTCATACGAAGAACTTAATACTATTCTTTCGCAAATTGAATGCTTACTAAACTCGCGGCCCTTGACAGTATTAAGTTCTGATCCCGCGGAGCCCTCGGCCCTTACACCGAGTCATTTTTTGAATACCGCGCCTTTATTGTCATTACCTGCGGCTGAAGTTAAATCTGACAGTCTGTTACACAGACATTCTCTACTGGATAAATTAGTCCAGTCGTTTTGGGATCGGTGGAGGATGGATTACCTTCATGGATTACAAGTTCGTCAGAAGTGGAACACTTCGTCTACGCCTATCGCATCAGGCACGGTTGTAGTTGTGATTAACGATAACGCACCGCCCCTTGCTTGGCCATTAGCTATTGTTGAGTCTGTTCATCCTTCGAAAGATGGTGTAGCTCGAGTAGTAACCGTGAGAACTTCTAAGGGAACCTACCTCCGTCCGGTTGTTCGTATTTGTCCTCTCCCAAAACAATAAACCATGAGTATCTTAATTATAATTACTTATTTACATTAGCAATTATTTTATATATCATACTATAAAATGTTAAACCGCTATATTAAATCTATGTACGCATTTTCTCGCTTGCTAATCAAGCTTAGTTAATCAAATATTGAGCGCATTGAGCGCGCCTTCCGAATCTATATACCGCTCTATTTATTTGCTTACTATAAATGCTCATTCTAGATACCGCAAAACATTTTTTTTTCTTTTTTTTCTTTGTCTTACGGTTGTCTTTTAAAGGTGACCCTTTAAGGGGGGGAGGAAATGGTAACGCCAGTTAACAATCTAATTTATAAATCTAAATAGAATACTTGGTACATAACCTTGACCCCTCCCTTCTTTAACCCTTTCCATAATATGTACGCACGGCTGTTGGAGGCGATAAAAACGCCACGCAACGGCAAAACAGTTGCATTCGTATACAACCCGCAAACAAACCGCACGAAGGGCATTGAGTCCTTCGACCACGCCTTAATATTAATTTATCACCGGACATTGTGTCCTTGTAATTCCACAAATGTGACGCGTCTTCCGCGAGTACAATAAGTCGAGAGTCGAGGAGTGTGGTATACCATAACTGATCCAGACTGCGCGCGCCGGACCACGTGGTGACCTACAGTTAACAGACGCCCCTTGAGGAAGAAGGCGAGGCAGCCCTTCACAAGGTTAGTGCGTGCATTCCCCTCTCATCCATTTTCCTTGCTCTGCTCGTTGTATGTACCAAATACAGTCCACAAGCTTTATCGAAAACTCATGTTACTGGCGCGTCCAATAATAATAATAATAAATATGCTAAATAATAATATAACTTGACATTTTTGTAATATAAAAGTATTTTGTTTTATATAATTATAAATATTTGCATGCCTATTAAAGGCAGAATATAGCTTTAACTATGCACCACTCTTAAATCTGGTACCACCTGTATTCTGTGCAAATAAATGTTTCTTTCTTTCTTTACAAACGTATATAGGACAACCTCTGAAATATAAGATATTTAATAAAAAGGAAGCAACATAATAGATTTACAATTGAGAAGATACCGGGTAAGCATACATACAAACAACATACAGTCCAATTATAATCCACTTCCTTTTTTAAGTGAGCTCAAAATGGTATAAATAATAGTGATCAGCACTTAAAGTTACGATTACCAATTAAAGTGGTAGTGGGGATGTACGATCATATATTTCAATAAAAATGCCTTCAAACAAAAGTACGTCGCAACACATTATTAATTAACCTTTTAATTGAATTAAGTTACGGTACTGGCTGAATTGAGTTATCAGCGTTGCGATAAAAGGCTTACAAATTAATTATTAAAATCACTCCCTGTACCAACATCACAACCAATAATACCTAATTAAGGCGATTATCGATTACGAAATAAATTCATATAGACAACGCAATCGTAAGAATATTAACTACCCCATATTCCACAGAAAGAAATCTAATCAAATATATCTAATATTAAAAAAAATGTGTGTGTACTAATGTACGCACGTAGGAAGTTATACTTCTTTAGCGATACAAAACAAAAAAACTAGAGAGACAATTACCCAATGAAGATGTCGCTTTTAGGTGTCGGTGTGCGCGCGCATCGTAAAAATTCACTCTCATAATTTTTCGTTTTTCCGAAACTCCCCAAAAGAAGTATAACTTAAAAAACCTTACCTCCACACTAGGATTTTGTTCTATGTCGTTGGAGCAGTTTATATACATAAATTACAAAGACATACATACAGACCCGAAACAGTTATTTGTAGGCCATAAAAATACTTGTTCCGTGCAGGACTCAAACCCGCGTCCCTTATCGCTGCAACTCATTGCTAAGCCATTGCGCCACGGAGTTGTCAAAAAATGAAACAGCCTCTTTAATTAAAATAAAAAAAACAGCGGTTGTTAACCATCCTACCATGCGTGACATCTATGGCAAATATCCCTTTGAGGTTTTTTTTATAGGATAGGGTGACAAACGAGCACACAGTCCACCTGATGGTAAGTGGTTGCTGTGGCCCATAGACATCTACATCTATCCTCGCTTGCGAGTCAAAATGCAGATGCGTTGTCACCCGTGAGGACTAAGATGGGATGCCTCTTTTTCCAGTAAAAAGGGTCTCCGGTTCTCTACACTCCCCATACGAAACACAGCAGATTTAAGCTGCTATTTTACGCTGGTATTCTGTGAGAGCGTGGTCCTTCCCCGGTCGAGCCGACCCATTCGTGCTGCAACTATACTACTAATATAGGTGCAGCATGGCTCTACCACGTATCAATTATAGGTTAGGTATATGTTCAGCAGTTAACTTTTTATAGGCTGTAACGGTTATAAGTTTTAGTAAACTTTGGTTGGATGTATTCACCATCTAATTACACCAGACGTAAAATGTTCAGACCGGTGATAGGCAGCAACTTCAAAGGTGCGAAACGTATGACGCGGCGAACATCAATCCGACTATAGTCATTTTGCTGAGATAGTGTCGGTACACCCAGATGCGCACTAATTATTTTGCTTTTATTTTATTATTTTTACTGTATTTTTTTTAAATGTTTTTCTTTTCTAAGAATAAAATAGAATACCATTTTATTCTTATAGTTATTGTAATAAAATACGATATAATAAACACAAGTAACGTTGCAAACAACCTTTCACAACGGCACGCCGCTTCGTTTTAAAATGCCGAATTTTCCTGCGCGTGTACGCTGCATGTGGTGATATTTGATGTCACGGCGGCGCTTTTGACAAGATGCGGCACGTGTAGGTGGCTACAAAGGAGCGACACAAAGGATACCGTATCTAAACACACACATTAAGATAAGATCTAAGCGTGAAGATTAAGGCAAATCCTCCTGCACATGGAGAGGCCAATGTCCTACAGTGAACTTTGAAGGGCTGACAAAGATGAAAAATGTATGCCGTGGGTGTTGTAAGAGGTGACAGAGGGTAACAGAAATAGTTGATGGGTAGCAGCACATTCCGCCTGCAAAGCGTGGAAACTATGACAAACTTAGGGAGGGTTTAATGGTATATATGCGTAAAATATTTGGACTTATGATCTGCTGTAATTAAGGGTTTCTGTATTGTGTTGACTGGTTTACCGTTACCAGTAGAAAAGGCATTCCAACCAGTTGTTCAGTGTAGTAACGACGTATCTGCATTTTGATTCGTAATTGGGGATGGATGGTGTCCATGGGCCATAGCACCCTCCTACTATCAGGTAGACCGCATGCTCGTTTGTCACCCTTAATGGTAAGAAAGAAAACATTTATATATTCAACAAAGTATATATATATAAGAGGATTTTAAATTTGATATTGTATATTTGGAAGTAATTTAAGGTAAAATTTCTTACTTTTTAAAGGAACTAGATTTGCGATTCAAATTGGAGACTGAAGTTTTAATTTGTAATTTTAATGTAGGGATAAAGTACACAAGTATTTTTTTATATTTAATATTTTTGCTTTTGTTTTTATGACAGACAAATAGATAGATTCTCTTACGCTATAGTGTGGTCACCGTTGCCAACTCTATGGATTTTTCCGTAGATCTACGAAATTTTACGGAACTACGGGATTTGAGTTGAAATCTACGGAATTTGATTTCTATGTTAATAATGCTTTTTGTACTTCAAATTCCTTTCAGAATAATTAGATTTTTAAAATATTAACAAAAAGCATTTTTAAATTTTTTCTTTAAGTTTTAAAAGTATTTTGATAGTCATTTTTGTTTACTTGAGTAAATCAGCGATAATTTCTAAAAAAACTATGAGGTAAGGAATTTACAAATGTTTTAAAGTCTATACGTACATATGTTAATTTAATAAATATTATTTTTTCTTAATGGCGTTGAAACTCTTTGTATGCAAAAAAACAATGTCATTCTCTCTCTGTTCTTCTATGCTTTGTATTAAAATAACGTCGTTGCTTATAAATATCTCATTTTTTGTTGAGGTACTTATTCCGATTTTAAACTTTGATAGCGTATATATTTTGCATTAAATTACGTTTATTTCGAATTTGGAATTCTTCTCGGAAAAAAGGCAGTTTATATAAACGCTTATAAAATTTTCATAGATGATTTAATTTTCACTTGTTATGTCTCAAATTTTCCTAATCCAGGCTGTCCCAATTGTAAATTATTAAAATAATCTGCCGAAAAGGTCTTTGCTTTTCCTCGACCTTTTTTTTTTCGAATTTCTCAAAAGTTGTTAGTTGTATATTTTTTCAGTGTTACATAAATTACCCAAGTCCAGAAACACCGTAATTTATCAAATAAACTAACACATACCAGAAAAAAATGTATGTTAATTTAGTGAAGAAGGTCGGTTGTTTTTCATTCATCTAATTATTGCTACAAAATTTTCCAGCATCAAATATGTAACGTAATTTTTTTAGTATAACTGTACACGCCGCTAGCTGTCCCAACAAAGGTTGACGGGACTAGGGCCCATGAGTAATCCCATCGACGGGCAACAAGAGACGAGGTCCAACGGCTTATGGAGACTTATTATTCTGCACAATAGATATAAGGCTAGGTAACTAAATAGTACGTACCTGATTCCGAAGCGAAGACTGCCCCAAGGCTCGGTCAGGCGGTAGGTAGGTGTAGGTGCATGTAAGTGGTGTGTAGTAGTGTTTATATATGTGACCTGACCTAGCTGAGGTGATCGGGCAGCGGCCTGATCCGATGCTGCCCCACAATTTTGTATCACTCCAGCGGACGTCACCAATTGACAACTTCTTTCATCCTTTCACTATTTCAGTCTATCAACTTCATTGTACACTATTTCAATCCATCAACTTTATTGTACATTTAACTAACTTCAAACTCAACTAAATCCCCTTTAATCGTAATCAAAACGTAAGACATGGCACGACTAATGAACGGTGGATCAAAGTTCACTTCCGTTTTCACTCAGCAACAAATTATAATCGAGCACACGCGGTCTACTCTCGAGTGACAAAGTTCAGCA